GTTCGTTGGTGTTTATCGTTACATTGTTATGGCTGAATCTTCGCGTAAAACCGTGTCGTTATTCCCAAGATTGCTGGAAAATTAAATTACTGCCTTTTCTGGCGGCCTAAACGTATCTTGTGATGCTATTATTGTTGCTTTTGCGTTTGAGTAAGCATTTTGTTCAATAAACCGTTATTTACCTTTTTCTAATTTATATCCAATAGGTTCTTGTTTCAGGCTTATTTGGTGGGATACAGAGTTGATGTGTAATCAGGGTAAAGGATATAAATAAATAAATAAATAAATAAATATATATCAAAAAAATATAAATATAAAAACAAGTGTAAATAAATAAATAAATAAACATAAATAACCAATATATATATATATATATATATATATATATATATATATACGTAATATATATATATATATATATATATATATATATATATAATTTACTTATGTAATGATGTATTAATATTGATTTCAGTTAACTCATATCAGTTTTTTAAGTAAGGCTTTTTCATTGGTTTCTGCATTGGTTAACATTTCACTTGCAAGAGCAAAATTCTTTCAGAGCGAAGGTTTTTTGTTTTTTTTTTTTTTTTCAGCAGCTTTTTTTCCATGCGCCATAAGCGCTTTGAAACGTTTACTGAAGTTTTATATTTCTAAGATTTGATTAATTTTTTCGTGTTCTTGTTTTCGGGATCTGAATTTCTGAATAGGAAAAATGTAATGTTTTTCAGCTCGGACTTTTTGTTAGATTTTGCGTGTTATGTGTGTGATGTGTCTCACAGTCAAATTTTTTATGTATCTTAGTTAACGCTGTTTGCTGCCGGATTATTACTTCTGAACTTTATACTTTGATCTATAAGTATTTTTCTCCTCCTTTTGTTGACGGTTAACGAAATTTCGCAGAGCTATTCGTAATGCCTGTGAAATTGTTTGTTGTTGTTTTAAATTGCCTGAATTGGTGGTATTGAATTTTAAAATACTTCCTAGGTTTCTACTCCGAAGCTTCTGTGAATAATTGTGGCCATTTTCAGCTGTTCTTTTATTAGGTATTGTGACATTTTTGCTATCAGTTTCTGGTTAAAAACATTGGCGTAATCGCTTATTTGAGAAACTCTCATGCAGCAATCTTATTTTATTGTTGTTTGAAACTTAATTTTTTTAGATGTTGTGATATCTGGTGTGATTACATGCACATTTTTTGGAGAGTCTGGCTGTTGCATATCCTTGTCGCGACGCAGGTGTGTAGCATCTAGTGCAATCAACATTTTAAACGTTTGTTTGTTTGTTTGTTTTTTATTGCTATTATTTCCAATACCAGTAATTTTTAGTTCGGTTTTTGTCTGTTAAGTCAAATCAGTGGGTTGCTGTACTCTTTTTTTTTGGTTTAGATTATGATAGGGAGGGTTATTATCTACGGTAACGCATGAAGAAAATTGATGGTTTCAAACGGTACTTTTTTCTTTTATTTTGCGGTTCTTTGTCTGCAACTTTAAAAATTGTTATTTTCACCAAGTAATAGTTTAAATCCTAGATTATCAGATTTAATCTCCATTTTGTTGAATGTGGAAAATACAGTAGAGGAGCTATAGTTGGATGATTTTCACGGTTATAAAGTTTCGCAGTATTTCTTCATTTGAGTTACTGTTCGATTTCTTTTTTTTTTTTTTTTTTCATATCCTATAAAGTTCTTGAGGATTGGATGTTTAAGTTTTTTTAAGGTGTTTTCTAGGATAGGTAGTGAGGAGAGCCTACAAGAGACAGTCTTCATTTTATGCTGGTTTTTTTTATAAAAGTTGGTTGCTAAATGGTTTTGCGTAGGAAAAAAGTAAACAGGTATTTTAAAGAAATAAAGAGGCCATATATTAGCTTTCTACTGAGGAATGATCATTGGCTTGTTTAGTTGTTAGGATTCATTTGTCAAATTTCAGCTCTAATAGGTCATTCATCGTAGCGTCTTATTCTTAATGAGGGCTCTTTTTGATGGGCGTAAGTATCGGTAGGAGGTAGGCACGTAATGTAATTGCGGAGAGATGTAAGATCTTTCGTTTGTTTGTTCTCCTCTTAAGTGTGTAAAAGATAGGGTAACTCTTTGTTATTTTGCTGTTATTTTTCCGTAGTTTTTAAATTTAGCATCACGGCTTTATATTGCTAAGTAGTCTGTGGATGTTGCTAAACTTCTGAGGAAGAGAACGGTAACGAGCAGACTCGGAAACGTTATTTTTGTTTGTTCGATTTCTCCTTTATCTGCTCAGTGAATGAAGATATTTGAACTGCACTTTTATCTCAAATATTTATGGTCATTTCTAGCGTACAGCTGGAGGAATCTAGATGAGTATGGAGCGGAAATTTTTTTGTTTATCTTTAAGATGTTCTTTCACAGGTTGTTTTGATGTTGGGATCCACTGGTGACTTACTGTAATTTTGAAATATGGGTTGCATTAGTAACACTGACTGCGCTGCACTAAATGGGGTTGAAAGATTGCATTTTGAAGAGTTTTTTTGCTGGGTTACTTTGTTTAAAAGGGAGAAGAATAATATTTGGTCTTGTTTTTCATATATTTATGTTCGTTAGTTTTGATTCTACTTGGTAGAAGTTGTTTGCACTTCTTATGTATCTAGTTTTCAAAAGCAAGATAAGATGCAGTACTAGCAAATCATTGCGCGTTTAAATCATGAAGGAACAGACCTTTGTGCATTATTGAGAAGATAAAGTCAGGCAGTTTTTTAATGTTATTTCAATAGGTCTTGCAATACTCTTTATCAAGATAATCTTTTAAATATGCTAAAATTAATTCAGAGGTCTATATTTCAGGTTTTTTGGTTTATTTTTCTTCAATTAAAATCTTTCGAGATGGGGAAAGTTATTTTAGGTTACTAAGGAAACGGTTCTACACATTCCGTTTTTGAGTTCGTTTTTGCTGTTGTTACTTTTTCCTTCATTTGTTCAGAAAGCTGGTTTGAATGCACACTTTGTTTCCTCTTTAAAAACAAAATTGAACGCTTATTTTTTAAATGTTGACGAGCGTTTTATTAGAAGTGCTTTAGGAGGAGGAGTACTCGGCTGCACTATCAGATCTCGGAAAGGTTCTTCGAATAACTTTCGAGGCTAAGTGTTAGTTTTCTTAACATAAGATTGCTAATCCCTCGAGCCACTGCTAGTAATTCCACTGACTGCTTGTGTACTCTTTGATTTGCAAATCCTGTTCAGTTTTTGGGGTGCTTTAAGCATGCTGTTCACTTCTAGCTCTCACTGGTACTAAAATATTCAGATCTACAAATGAATAATTATTGTGTAGATATATACGGGATCGTTCTTTGCATACTTTTACACATTTTAAAGATTGGTTTTTTAAGTCTTTTAGCTTTTGGTAATTGGCTAGTTGTGGTTTTGGATTTGTGAGGCAGGTGAACTTACTTCTATATTTTTTTTTCGTGGGAACTAAAGCTTTCAGTGTTGTTAAAGTTTACACTCTTTAAAGAGAACTGGTGTGCTTTGAAAGGTGTAGCATTGAGTTTGCGCATAAATTCATTAACTTGGCAAGAAAAATGTTCAAACCGTTAAGTTGTCTAGCGTAAAAAATTGCAATTACAACGCATAACATGTTTTGACCATTACAAGTTATATCTAGCGTCAGTCAACTGTGCAACATTGTACCGTAATGGCTTGACTCGATTCAAGGAAATGAACTTGTACTTCGAAACCCAGAGGAGTGGAGCACACTGGCTTAACCGTTTGATTCAAACATACTCATTCAGTGAAAAAAAAACAAAGAATTATTAGAAGTATAGAGTCTTGAAGACTATAATGAAGGTTACAGAATCCACATAATTTTCCATCAGTCGTAATTCAGATTTCCCCTGCAGTGACAGTATCGGTATTTTGTTTGTAAAGTTATTTCTTCACATTTCTCCAATAAATTGCATTTTAGCTCCTATAAGGCGTTTACTGGAGTTTTTCGTTGAAGTTCTTGGACCGATGCGTTGTTTAGCTTCCACGATTCCTTTGCAGTTATTGTTGGTACTCGTAGGCTACAATTCAAATTCGAAACTGGTTGTGGGACTCATGGTTTTATAAAAAATTTATGGAGATTATAGGTGGAACTATTCTTTCCAATACATTATTAAACCTGTTTACAGCATTAATCCTTGGGATTGACTGCTGTTGTGCTTCGAAATTAGTGTAAGTGAATCATTAATAGGTCATTATCTTGTCCTGTCATAATTGTTTTTTTATTAAAAACTTCAGTTTGGAAAACGAGTTAACTGCAGGCACTTAATTGTTGTGGGAATGAAAATGCTGTTTTTTTAAATGATGTATTTTCTTTTCGAAAATGTTTATGGAAGCTAGTTTTATGAGAACTGTACGAATTGATTGTTATCGTAAGTTCTACTAATTTTAGATTAGTTAAATAAAAAATTTCTGGAAGAGTGTTCCTGCTGTTTGGAGTTAGTTTTATGCAGTTTTCTTTTGAGGCGGGATAATATATCTACGTCTTTCAAAATAGATTTTAAGATACAGGAGTATAGCTTCGAAGAATGTTTTAAAATTCTTTCTCACAAAATGTGATGAAGCAGAGCTTGAAGCAACTATAAATTAATGCGTGGTGGGTAAAGAAAGGTGGTAGGGTTGGTAATTTTGCTGCGGCTTTAGTGAAGTGCGTTAAGTCTATGAAGACATTGTTAAGGGAGTTGTTTTATTGGTATTGGTCTGGATTACTTTGGGATTGAGGATTTCTGAATACTGTTGTCTGGACGAACAAAAGGGTTCTAATTATACTTCATAAATAAGTGATAGATTGGCTGGCTTATTAACATAGTTTTTAACTCATTTTTGGGTCGGTTTGCGCCATTTTTGTTGAGTCACGAACATCTTTTAGCAGTTTTAGGGTGTGCTAGGTACTTCTCTGGTCTTTATAAATTTTCTTTGGTGTTATTACAATTTTATGTTCTTTCCTTGGTTATTTTTCAAGTCCTCTTTCGAATTTTTCGCGTTTGACATTGTTTTTTAACTTATTTTCAGTGAATTTGTGGGTTTAAATATCTTGTTTTTTTGCTTTATTTTCATCAGGCAAAAATTTTTTGAGTAAAATAGCAGCAAAAAAGCTG